ATTCTGACTTGAATTATCTACCAAATTTATACTTATTCACCTAAGTATATATTTGTCAACACCCCCAGAAAGGCCAAGACATTGAAGAAATCAAGACTCGGAAGGATGAAGTCTTTGGCAAATGAAGAGCACCACCAGTCATGACTTTGGTCTGTGTGCCAAGATGCTCCCTTCTGTCCGTTTTTAAGTTTAGAGTAGACATTAATAATCCAACTGAAACTCCTCTTACACACTCCATTTATGGCGAAGTCCACAGGTGTTTACTGAAACATTTTATTTTTATAGATTTCCCCAAGAATTTATAAACCTAAACTCAACAGGAAATAAAAAAGTACCCTCGAAAGCAGAGGAGTCCAGGCAAAGCCCCGGTAACTGATTTGCATGTGGATTAGTGAATGTTAAGGTGCTAACACCTACTAATCCCTATGCAAAGCAAGACACAATGCTTAGAGACCCTTAAGAGTGGCCTGCTGTGATTATAAAGGAGCTAGGCTAAAGCAAATAGGGACCCATTTGCCTTGTCTTGCACTAGCTCCTCATGAGCCATCCAGACCTATATTTCTTTGGCACTCAGACTTTGAGTGTGCATAATACTGTCTGCTTTTAAAAATAATTCTGAGCTATTTTTGCCATTGCAATGTTATATGAAGAAAAAAATTATAAGTTTCATAAGTTTTGCCCTGGGATGAATCATCATATTTGATTTCCAGTATATAGAAAGAGATGTTCACTTCTTATAATAGTGATGAAATACAGCATCCAGGCTCAGCACTTCTGGCTCAAGTGGCTAAGGCACCAGCCACATACACCTAACGTGGCGGGTTTGAATTTAGCCCGGGCCTGCCAAAACAACAATGACAGCTGCAACCAAAAAATAGCCAGGCATTGTGGCAGGCACCTGTGGTCACAGCTACTTGGGAGGCTGAGGCAGGAGACTCGCTTGAGCCCAGGAGTTGGAGGTTGCTGTGAGCTGTGATGTCATAGCACTCTACCCCAGGGGGACAGCTTGAGGCTCTGTCTCAAAAAAAAAAAAAAAAAATACAGCATCCAATTCTGTTAATTTAAAATGACAAAATTCATTCTTAGGTACTACGTTAACAATAGAAAAACAATGGTGGTGAATAATGAAGGATATTTGATCCTTACTCCTTGGATTTGCAGAGGCTGGTAATATTGGAAGAGATGGAAATATAATGAAACAACAGCTTTTATCTGTTTCCTAAAGAAATGTGAATGTAATGCCATGCAGACGTGGTTTAAAAGAGGGAGGTGGGGCTGGGAGCGAAGAGACTGAGATGATCCCAGTGTTGCTCCTCTGTTTCTAGACCATCTGGGTGTCTTGGTCTCATCTTCCTTACACTTGCAGCTTAACGTTGTCACTGCCTTTGGAACTTCCCTTGGTATGTAAGCAGAGATGAAATAAGGAGGTGAAAATCAAGGCAACTTTGTTTGTCTTTAGAAGTTCTTTTTAAAAAAGCTCAATACTTCACAATTTAAAGAGTACTCCATAGGGATTTTCTGTGGTTTCTAATCGTCGTAGCTCCAGATGAATCTTATCGGGCATGTTTAGAAAATGATATGTTATCACTTTTACACTTGACACATGTATTCTCTTGTATAGTTAGTTAACCTATTATAGGGCCGTGTGAGCTTCCTGTGGGTGTAAGGACAACCAAATTAAAAACTATTGGAGAATATACTTTATACTTTTTAAAAACATTTTAAGTAGCCACATATCAGGTACTATATTTCTTACTAAAGTGTATTTCCATTTGCACTGGACACTGGTCCTCCCCGTCAACACTGTTGCATAGCTGAGTCTAATTCCTTGGACCTCGCACCCTATACTACTAGTAAGTTAATTAGGAACCTGGGTTGCCCATTGACCTCCACACATGAAAGAAATTGCTTAATTTCTTTAATTAATTGCTCTAATTGCTTAATAGAACAATATTAACCATTTATTTAGTTCTTTCCCTCATTCAAATGGTTATCAACTGTAAGTAAAATAGAATAAAATTAATGGACACAAATTCTTTTCAAATAACCCACATGTTAAGGAGAAAAATAGAGAATGTCCCTCCCAGTTACAAGCAGGAAGCTGAAGAAGCTGAATCATGTATAGCTTAGGCTCTTCAAAAAAGGCTCCCCATGCAGAGACTTCCACGCTTTAAAAGAATCTTTAACTCAAGAAAGAAAATTGTACATAGTCTCTGTGATGAAGATGTTATTTGTCTCTAAAAATAAGTGAGAAGAAAATTAGATACATGTAAAATAATTAAGCAGCTGACAACATTTTCTTCCTGAGAAAAGAGAAACTGCTACTCTTATGTCTTATATGATTTGACATCTCTGAGAATCAGGACTTGAGACAAAACAGAATGGAGGATCAGGAGCACATTATCCAAAGCCCCTTCACAGTGTTTCTTATCAATAGCAAAATGAATCACCCAAATAGGTAGTATTTTAAAAACTCACCTAGTAATATTGGCAAAGTAATTAGCAAGGGTTAGCAAAGTGTGATTATAAAGATACCAGTATCTATTCATAAAAATATATGGAATATTTTATTTAACTCTAATCAGTGCTCCCCATAGTGTATGCGGAAGTACATGTTTATGTGGGTTTTTATGATTAAAGAGAAAATATTCACCATTTAAGATGAAATTTAATATATCCTTCCCATTGATTAAGATGCCACCGGTAATTAACCAGATAACAACTATAAACAGGTTAAGATGTCCTTAGGTCTTTCCTATAGATGAGCAAATATAAAGTAACTCCCTTATAACTTTTGGATCCTGTATCTACCTTTTGTTGGCAAAGTTGCTTTTTTTTGTTTTATTAGTTGCATTAGTTGTTACAGAACTACTGTTGAGGCTTATGACTCTAAGACGAATCATGAGAGAAGCCCAGACAAATGTGTAAGAGCCCAAATCTTCTTGCACGAACGTATCACCCCAAGCTACTTGTATCACTGGCCATTTTAATCCACCATCAATTCTTGTATGATTTCCAGAAGGCTTAGAGTTATAGTTTTCAAGCTTTACTGTGCATGAAAATCACCTGGCAGATTTTAAAAACTGTAGATATTTGGGCACCACCTCCAGAAATTTCTGATTCTCTTGGGCTATAAGAAGGGCTCAAATAAGACGTTTACACAAGATGCTCAGGCAGCTCTGATGTATAGCAAAGGCTGAGAATCACCCCATTCATTTAGGTGTACTTCCAGCCTGATTTCACAAGACCCGAATATATCCCCAAAGATAATAAGTAATAACTCCGTATTTTGAATATGTAGATGGCCATACAAACGCTCTGAGTCTACCTTCTTTCCATCTGAGATTTCTAAACACACCAAACACATATTATTCAATAACAATCTCATTCAGGATTTAATTATCTAGACTGCCTTGATAGCATACAAATTGTCACAAGGTCTGATTTCGACAGATGTCCTTTTGAAGCACCTGTTGGCATCAACTCTTGTCACTGGCGCTTTCAATGGGCTGCAGTTTTAATTTTTCAAACGTAGTGAGCTTGCTGGAATGCTAGAAATGCACATTTGCTGCTGACGCTCCCTTCTCGGAAACCATCTCCTGAATCACTCTGCTGCTCTCTTGAATGTGTAGTTAATGACAGAAGTCTACAAATACCATTAGCACTGACTAACAGCCTTGTTCATAGAGGCTTATAAGGTTTATTAGGGAGAGTTGATTTCATATAATCATCCAATAATGAAAATGAGCATTGTCTGTACCCTCGGAGGAGTCTGTCAACATTTGACTCTAAAATACTAGAACTGTGGTTTTATGTTGAAGAATGGTTGAAATCTCACCTAGAAAGCTGTTCCACCTGTCTTCCAAGTGAAGAGTCTAAATTTGTATTTAATTATAATGGAATAGCTAAAATGTTATAGAGCTTAATCCCAAACATGCCTATGGCTGATTCTATTCAAACATGGATGTAAATAAGCCGTGTAAGTGTCAGAATCTCCAGTCCGTTCATCATTTCTATCTATAGTATGGTACTGAATCCGGTATTGCTGAGCTGAGGGTCATGGGTGATGCAGAGCTATTCTGATACTTTATTTTTGAGACAGCTGAATTACTCTCTGACCTGACTTCAGTGAGTGGGAAGATCATCTCTATGCCTTCCTGCCCTTTCTAAAAATAGTAAAGCCTTTAACAGGAGATATTTTAAGCAGCTCATATTCACTCGTCTCATCAGGAGCAGCTTATTTTGGCCACTTGCGTGTGTCAGATTTGCATGTGTGCACAGTTAGACCCAGATCCTCACCACTCATATAAGAAACTAGCGGTCATAAAGACGCGGGGATTGCCAGCGGAGAGGATTGCCAGGATACCTGTCAGGGGGTAAAACACAAACGAAGGAAAGTCACTTTTTAGGAATGTGACCAAGCTTCAGAAATCCTCCATTTCAGACATTTGTACATCAGTCCTCGGCTTTTCGGATGTGTTTTCATAAAACCTGGCTGTGATTTTGCTCCAGAGACCTCCATGATCTTGCTGCTTTTAATAAATATTTACAGGAGGTGCTGCCAGCTTGAGGCCAAGGGAAACTAATGAGAACCTACAATCCGAAATCTGAACGGCAAAAACAAAACCAGGCAAAACCAAAACACCCAAAACAAAACCATAAAAGAACAATTCAAACGATCCGTGTTCACAAGAAGACGCGTAGAAAAATACTGAGCTGTAACTTGGGCGTGATAACTGGATTTATCAGTCGCCTGACTGGCATGCAGTGGGTACTTTGTATTTTTCTGCAGTGCTTTGAAAAACAAGCGCACGTTCATGTCATTTTTCACAACGGGGACCAAAAAATTATGAGTGTGAGGAAACATACACTCTAAAAAGCAAGATGGAATGTAAGCAGGTAAACAGGGGTCCACAGTCATGTCCGCCCAGTGCAGTTGTGCGTGGTACCCGTGTTTGCACCTCTAAGAAATTTCCATTTTTTCGCATCAAACACTCCAGATATGAAGCTGAAGCTGCTTTCTTCGCCAACCTGAAGCTGTCTGATTTCAACATCATTGATACCCTTGGAGTTGGAGGTTTCGGACGAGTAGAACTGGTAGGTGACTGTTCTTTCAATGCTTTTGAAAGCCTCTCATTCCTTTTCTGCCCCCTCCCCTAGATTAAGCTTGCTTTCTTTTCCCTTTTCTTCTCCCTCCTCGTGAATTGCTATTGTTCCTAAATCAGGGCCAAGTACTTTCATAGAGGCACATCTCTGAGTTGCAGCCAGGTGGGCTCTATGGGGCAGCCAGTAGACTAAACATGAAATCAATAGCACATCACTTTTTAGAAAACCTCTTCATAGTAAGTGAAAGGCAAACGCCATTTACTTCAAAAAGAATCACAAAGCACTTTTTATCAAGCTTATTTCTGTACTCTTTATTTAATTCTTTAGTTCTGAGCAGGCTTACTAAACATGATACGCTCTAACAAGAAGTATAATAATTTCAATGTAAATTTAAATACATATAGAGGGAAATGAGAGATATATCCATATGATATATGAAATACATGGTGTTATAGTAGTAATTCTACGCTTTTGTTGTTCCAGATACCTATTTTAATTACAGTTCTAACAGGTTGAATAGTTTATATGGTTTATCTTACACACTTTATATATATGGCTAAGTATTGATAAAGATGATGAAGTCAGTTTGAGTAAGTTCATTTCTTAAACAGATTGCATGAATGTTGTATAAATAATATGAAATTATACTCTTGCATTTGTTTGAAAAAAATTTAAAAACTGACGTATTGTAAGGAAAATTAGGGTAAAAATGTAATCTGGTGACTGATTTGTCTTGCATTTCAAGACTATAGATATAGCCCTATTTGAGAGCACAGATTGATTTCCTCTTCCTTGCTGAATGTGGAGGAGTCCCTGGTATCAGACATCAGTACAGTGTGTTAGAAACTCCCCGGGACTATAAAGAGGACAGTAAACAGTTACTGTTGCCATCAGTGGTCAGAGAAATCCCCTTCCATAAAAACACCTTGACCCAACTTCCAAGGATATTTTTGATATGTGTCTGTTTGTGTTACAGTTGGGATTGCTGACCTTGACAGGAAGAAAGATGTTATTTACTTAACGATTAATCAGAAGGTTTTAGAGCCATTGTGTGTTTCACTGAATTTGCATTATTCTTCCTTGAATGCTAGTTGGAGATAAAATGCTACTTCTGACTTGAAAGTACAAGTGTGCCTCTGAGGATAAGAGTTTATGAGAGTAAAAAAATCAAGCAAGAGTCTAGAAAAATCTCTTGCTGTTCTAAATCCTGCCAATTAATTCAGCTTTGGATTCATTTTACAAGAACTTCGGTTTTGTGGCTAGTTATAATTATTTGTATAGCTAATAAAATTTATTAGCAACATTATACATGAATGACTTTGTTTTGGAGGTGTTGGGACATAAAAGTAGGAGAGAAGATAGAGCTCTATGCCATGAAAGATTTATTTTCTGTGTTTGTTTTCATAGCTGTATATTTCTAGACCCCTTTCTGATTAAAGTAGTATAAGAGACAGAATTCTACAGAGGTCAATTTTCAGACTGTTTGTTACAGTTCTTTAAGTATCATTTTTAAAAGACAATGGACAATAAAATTGCTGTTTTCATTTAGCCAAAAAAAGAAGAAAAAAAATATAAAAGTTGCCCAGAGATACTTTATGAAATACAGGAATTTACTTTGGATTTTTGAAATATTGGAAATAACTTGTAGATACTGAAACTACTTCAAGTTAAACAATGAAATGCTAAATTGATAGTGGAAAACTTGTAGGATATTCCCTAAAAAATGTTCAAGGAGGCATAAACAACTAGACACAGAATTAGGAAAGGTTTAATGTGGGCACATAAAAGTTAACACAATTTTAAAAGATAAAATAGGTTTGTGCACACATGTGTAGGCATGTGCAAAATATATATAAATTCATCGCCAGAGAAATACCAAATAGTTCAGCCTAGTTTTACACAGATGTTTATAGAATAATGAAAACCATAATCCTAAGAACTCATTTAGGTTGGGGATGTGGCCTAGTCTACAAAAACTTTAGGTACCATTGATGAATGATAAATCCATAATAGGTCATTCTTTACACATTGTGTTCTTGGGCCACATTGGGGGAAGAGGCACATGTCATTAACCCCCAAAGCCACATCATCTCATGTTACCTGGCTTTTCCAAAATCCACTGAAAAATAATCAGAGTATCCATAGTGTCTTCATTATTCAGTGTGGGCCACAATGCAAATGGTCACTAACACCCACAGGGGTCCTCAAACTACGACCTGTGGGCCACATGTGGCCCACCTAGGACATTTATCCAACCCACCTGGTGGTTTTGCCACCACTGCCTGTCCTGCTTAGCAGCCGACTTGTCCTGGGGCTCGCAGTCTGGCCCTCCAACAGCCTGAGGGACAGTGAACTGGCCCCCTGTTTAAAAAGTTTGAGGACCCCTGCATTTCCCCCACTTCTTACCACTTACTGATACCTGATAACATTAATTATTGGGTATGAAAAACTCATGCTTTCTATGATGGCAGAATTGGGAGTTTGGCATCAACACTGTGACTGTAATTACACAGAGTGTTGTCATGGAATGTAATGTTCCGTCAGAGTGGTACCCACATCGTTCTGACGAGAAGGATAGAGGCAGAGCCCAGGTATTCATTGATTACACAGGTTTCCTCTTTACTCTCCTCTGACAATGAGGCAGTCAAGACAGTCTTAGCAATATTTCAAGGTGCTTTTTTAAAAGCAATCAGATCTTCCTATTGACTCTTTTAATATATGTATAATATAGTGTTCAACCTGTTAATACAAAGTGTACAGTACTTGGACCTGGAGCCTGTCCATCCTTGGATTAGCAGTAATGTTGATCAGATAAATGACATTACAAAGTAATACCACATGGTACCCTTTAATTTCATATGGCATTTTAAAAAATCTCCCCAGGAATAAAATGATTATGAGATTATAAACTCTCCAGTACAGTAGGAAAAATTTAGAAATTTGAATTTTAAATGACATTTCCTGTTAGAGCCCCACACAGAAGGTAGTTTTTCCATCACTGTATAACGTATAGATTAGGTGTGTCTGAGTTAGTGCAGGGATAAGCCCTGCACAGATTTCTTAGCATTTCTTGACTTTAATTTTTTATATCAATTTGGATATATTTAGAGGTAGGGGTTTTTTTGTTGTTGTTTGCTCTTTTTTTTTGGACAAGATAATTTCTAAAGAGTTTATTGTCAATTTTTGGAGATGAGAACATAATTTTGCCACATAATAAGAAATTTAAATATTTATTTTATGGAGATGCCAGAAGCTTGAAGTAAATAAAGGTCTTAAATATATGGGATTCTGCCGTTAGCTATTCCTTCTGTCTCTTTCATAAATACTTTTACCATCACTGACTTTAGGTTAGTATTATGCATGTCCCACTCAGAGACATTAATGGTGGGCAGCCATTTATACTGCTTTCTTCTCTATATTCTGGCATATACCACATTTTCTTCCTACGTTCTTTATTTTTAAGAATGGGCTTTCTCATGTGGTCAGTGCTGCTGATTTCCGGTATGTCTTCCAGAGCACCACATTCCATTTCTAGTGTCACTTTCAGCGAAAGAACTCAATTATCTTTAGACATATGATTTACTCTGAAAACTCCAGGCACTGCTGTAAGACCTCAAGCTAATCATCTTTGTTTACAAGATGTGATTGTGTCCCATTACTTATGGGCACATTCCCAATTTAGTCTACTTTTGTTCTTGTCAGAGAGGTGCCTATATTTCAGAGTAGATTTGAACAAGTCCAAGACAAACTTCTTTTTAATCTTTCAGTACTATATGGTGGGTGCTTTAAATATTCAATAGTTAATGTATTCATTTCGCCATCTAAATGCCCCTTAGACCAAGGAAACAAAGACACGGCAAACATAGTGTCTGCCTTCTTGCATCATGTTCCTTCTACATCAGTTGCTATCGACCTGTACAGTAAACTTTTTCTTTTTTTTTGTGACAGAGTCTGATTCTGTTGTCCTGGGTAGAGTGCCCTGGTGTCATCATAGCTCACAGCAACCTCAAACGCTGGGCTCAAGCCATCCTCAGCCTCCCAAGTAGCTGGGACTATAGGTGCCTGTCACAATGTCCAGCTAATTTTTTGTAACTTTAGTGGAAACAGTGTCTTCCTCTTGCTCAGATTTATCTCGACTCCTGAGCTCAAGCAATCCACCTGTGATGCCCTCCCAGAATACTAAAATTACAGATGTGAGACACTGTGCCTGGCCTGTGTGGTAAACTTTCTGATGGAAGGTATAAAATTTAATAAAAAATAATCCCCCTCCACCCCTGGCTCAGCACCCATAGCACAGTGGTTATAGCACCAGCCACATACACCGAGGGTGGTGGGTTTGAACCCAGCCCGGGCCAGCTAAACAATAAGGACAACTGCAACAAAAAATAGCTGGGCATTGTGGCAGGCACCTGTAGTTCCAGCTACTTGGGGGGCTGAGGCAAGAGTATCGCCTAAGCCCAAGAGTTTCAAGTTGCTGTGACCTGTGACACCACAGCACTCTACCCAGGGCAATATATAAGATTCTGTCTCAAAAATAATAATAATAATAATAACCCCTGGCTCTAGGGACCCACAATTTACTTGGAAGAACAATTATGTAAACTGTACAGGTTAAGTACATGGCAGAACAAGACTTCTTGGAACAAGGGCATTTCTAAGGCAGAGAGAGAATTAAGGTCTCTATATACATAACCTGAAGCATTACATACATGCTAGCTAAAATGACACTACTACAGGAACAAATGTTTCTGTTAAAATGTTAATTACTTCCTTACTAAAATAATCAATCAATGGGAATGCTGCTTTAGAGTCTTCAGATTTCTTCCATATTTATAGTTATCCAGGGAGGAGAACATGAGGCACAATTTACATTTTAGAGGGACTTAGTCCACAATACTGTGTGAATACTGTGTGTATGTGTATATATAAATACTGTGTGTGTGTGTATATATAAATACTGTGTGTGTGTGTGTGTGTGTGTGTGTATGCAG